TACACCCGGTGGAGGGAAACAAAGCGAGCCATCGGGCTAACGAAGAAACGAAAACGCTGTCTCGGGGCTTCTGTGACAGATCGTAGCTACTCGGTCAAAGTTGTCGAGATGACGGAAGACACTTCCGGGTGGGGATGGCGGAGGACCGGAAGCTGGAAGGGAAGACAGGCCGGAATGAATAATAACGGGACCGTAGCGAGCAGTTTGTCGTCGAAACTAACTAAAGTCCCCGGGAGCTCATTTCGCAGCGCGTCGCGTAATTTAATTTCCGTGCAGCGATTTCTCCTCTCCTTCTGGGTGTATCTTGACTATGCATCGGAACCCAGACTCGCTACGGAGATATTATACCCTGGCTGGATTCGCGTTCCCCGGTTGGAAAATTAATTTCATCGATTACCGTCCCGTGTTCGGTCGCCGAAACGTTTCGCGATTTCTACGACGGAAGATTCGCGCTCGAAATCGCCGAATTCGATCCGTTTCTTATTGGAAAAAGTTGATTTCCGGCGCGGGGACTCGAACGTTTAAAGGAAACTACCGCGATAGAATTTTGTGAAACTTGAAATTTCATCCAGCAACGATATCTTAAAATTGAGATTTCTGTGGATCGTTTCGCGTTTTCGAATGATATTTTTAACGACGAAAACAGATTTCCCATTGTTGTTTCGACTTCAAACAAGTGATCAGCAGTTTCGGAAACAGCAGATTTTTTTGAACGACAGTTTAGTAAAAATAAGTAAATTTATATTCCAAAAACAATTTACTGTTTTGGAGGATAGAATTCATTTGGCGTAATATTTAAATTTATATTACCTCGGAGAAATACGAGCCTCGTAGTTTCCGTGTATTATTTTCGCGAAGTACGGGCGCGGATCGAGGGTGAAAAAGTTGGATTAGAATTTATTCGATGTCGTTGGAGACCAATCGTCTGCGCTACGGTGTTTCCGCGAAAAAGCTGAAAGCTTAAAGTAGTCTGAAATTCAGTTTCCCGCGGAAAATGGAACGCTGGAACGAGGCTCGCGGCGGATGCACGGACATATACGCCCCGGAATAACTCTTTCTTAATCTCTCGGGGGAGGGAAAAAGTCTGATGCACAGGGCGGAGCACGGGTGTCCCTTTCGAATCGACGACGATACGAAAATTGGATTGTGCGAACGCGTGCTCGATGTCGCGGCAACCGAAACGTTTCCTCGCGGAAAAGCACACATCGAATGCAGGCGCATCGGTAGAAAATGAAATTTTACCGAGAAAAAGGGTACCGCTGCCTTTTCGAGGAATCTCGTCCGCGCAAACGACTGACTACTTTCGAAAATTTCATTTTCTCGATAAAGATCTCGCTCCAACGAAGAGTGCAGATTTGAAAATTCTATACGGTTGGACACTCCATTTTTATTTGTTTATTTAGTACACGATATATTTAACACGTTCATAAAATTTTGATTTTAGACCATTGCAAGCTACATAACCTAAAATTTGTTTCAGTACTTATTTTCGTAACCTTGTTAACATTCACAAATTCTATTCAAATTTATTTCCCTCAAGGTCTTAACTTGAGAATTAATTTTTAATGGTAAACCCATATATGGATGACGTGGCAGTCAAAGTGTTAAAAAATAAAGAATCAGTTTCAAGCTGTTCGAAACACTTGATTCTTAAAGATCGTTAGCGACAGTTAAAACTCAATATTGGGGTGAATTTTATTCTATTTGCTATATTACAAAGGCCAAACACGAGAAGTAGAGTTGTACACGAAGAATTTTTTAATTAACACGAGTCGATGGAACAGTTTACAAAGAGTCGTCGATGGTATTGAATAATTATTAAGCTGCAGTCTCGAGTCCAGGTGGTTTTCGATACGTCGTTCGAGCCTACGGAACGCAATAACGTTTCGAATCTCCATTGGGAGACAAATTAACGAGAAAGAGAAAAAGCTCCGGGAGCTTTGTAAAAGGATCGAAGCCATTGTCCAGGCAAAGTAGCGCGGATGGACGGGAAAGAAAGGGAACCACTCCATTCCAGATTCCAGTAAATCACGCTTTTAAATCTCGCGTCAAAGCGACTCCCTTTGATTCGGGCCACCCTCGCCGCGCGATAAGAAACGGATCCGGCTTTCGCGATGATCGAATAATTAACCGAACAAGACGACGGTTATCGATCTATTACTTTGTCTGAGAGGCCGGACTTGCGCTCGAGAACAACCAGCCCAGACGAATTTATGATTCGTCGACGTTTCTCAACGTATAATGGTCTCTATGTCACAAAGGAATCGGTAATTTGCGATTTCGAGTAGTCTGCTTCTAATTGTTTTCAAAGGGGATGCCAAGGTTCAAGGGAAACGTCTACAATGACCTTGGAAATCCATCGAATTGAGATAAATAAAGAGAATAATTGGAGAGAGTGTCGCCAACAAACGAATCAAGAGTAGTTTTTTATACATTTTTATTTTATTTGAAATACGCTCTCTGTAAAAGAGATCATTAAATAGCGCTTGCTTAGCTTTTTATGGGAATTATGAAGCCATCCGAATTACGGGAGGATATCAGCTAGGACGTAAATATTATCGAACGAAGAACCGTACGAACTTTTTGGCCATCCCGATATTCTATATTTTAGTTTCGTGTAACTTTCGCCCGATGTTAGAGCTCGACTCTGTCCGCATCGATTCTTGAAAAGCTCGCAGCGAGTTTCGAAGCGTGACGAGCGAAACTTGACATCGATCGTTAATTGAAATAACACATTTGACGTGTTTGCACGCGGAGGGTATCGGTATCCTATTCACGATCATCCCTTCCGCCGCCCTCGATTCAATTCGCAGAAGTCTCCCCGAACCGCGGGCCTCCTCTATTCGTACCCGACGAACAAAAAATGGTCTGGCGTGGCTCGATCCAGACCTAAACCAACCGAGTACTAGAAATAAAAAAAAAAATCCCAGACCGATCGTAAAACACGCCGGCATAAATCCGACCCCGGTTGAATTAATCTTTACTGACGGGATTTCGGACACGGACGAATATTCTATTGGCGAGAGGAGGGGAATTGAATAAAACGTACGTAACATTTTAGTGGAGCGAAACATAAATCGCGAATTGTTTGGGAATATTTATCACCTGAATAACATTGAAATTTTAAAGAGAATCTATGTGGCGTTCCCTGGGATTATTTGATGAAATTTTGTTGGCTAAAAAGGGTACAGAAACATACATTGAAATTAGTTTTAGATTGTTCGTATGCAAATGGGTGTAAAAATATTTATTTGAGTGTGAAAATCGTATGCAATATCCTTGGACGTTCACAATGCGTTGTTACCCAAAAAGAGTATGTAAAAAATGCTGAATTGTTCATACTGTACTGGGTGTAAAAATATTTATTCGAGTGTCAGAATATTTTTGCTATATTAAATAGAATTTATTAAGCAAGGATGAATTTACTAAGGCCGTATTGACAAAACTAATAATTCTTTAAAATTAATGAGTATTTTGCCAATAAATAAATAAGTAAATAAAATTGTATGTACGCCAATTACAAACGTACATAGTGGCGTTGCTGTCCAAATGTTGTGATTTATTTGTCCTGGTGCCAAATCTCTCCAGGGGGAGGAGTCGATAGTTTCGTGTATCGCGGGGAGAATAAAAATTAGGTTCGTTGGGGGATTCGAGTATCCTCTCTTGGGGGATTTCCTTTTCGCAAGGAGGATAGTTTTTGTCCCGGAAACTGTTTAATCGCGTTAATCGAGAGTGGAGCGGTGAACAGCTGGCCCTGAGCGAGGGCGAACGTTGCGAAGTGACTCCGATTAGGGGCCATTATGGCCTCGTTATTAATGGCTCTCGGCCCGTGAGCTGGATAACGCGATTCCACGAAACGCGTCGTGTTATTCCGCCAGATTATGGAACGCCAACGAGAGAGTGTCGATATCAGGTGTTCGTTTAGGCTTCCTGGGAAATGCTATTTAGTATGACCGGGCAGATTCATTGGCGATTCAATCGCAGAAGCGTTCTGGAATAATTTCGGCGAATCTGTTTAACCCCATGACTTCGACGCGCATATCCTCGGGGACTCGGGGATCCTATTATTTTGCTTAAAACGAACAAACACGCCGATCTATCATCACCCGCAAACTTCAAAAGTTTCGAGTTCGGAATTCAATCAAACTATAATATGCAAACATTTTCTGTACAGTTTGCCAAAAAAGATGCAAGAAATGTCTATAAAATTCTTGTCAAAGCTGTTCGAGTTACGGTAGAAGGTGTCATTAAATTATACATTTTTATTTATTTCATTTACAAATGAAAACTCTTATATTTACATTTTTTTTTCTAATGAGATGTTGTAGAAAAACCATCGTTCTTTCAATGACCATTATCTTTAGTAAAATTCATTTCCTCTTGAGACACTCTTTTGCTGAAATACATGGTCGACAGTAAACATCAGAATTGATGTAATAAATTATTACCTGGCACAGGGTCATTATTTCCTCGAAATGCAAAGACTCGTTTATGAGGGGGGATTTTAGTACCGAAAAAGTGCAATTATCATAAAATATCAATTTTTCAACGCAACAAAACTTTCTCGCCGACGAGCACCGAACGTAACACACGTTGACTCGCGTACAACACTGGCCCGAATATGTATTTTATCGATTGGCGGATTTTTTAATGCTTTCAGAAAGCAATTACTCTGAAAAGAGAAAAGCTGCTGTTACTAGCAGAATGGAGCAGCGGTTCAAATGTAGCTGGCATAAAAATGGAGGCATTAATGTATCTCTTATTTTGAGCCTATTGACTCTGGTACAAAGTACATTTTAGTTGAATTTAGTTGTATTCCTGGACTGTCCATATTCTCTAAAATATATAAGAAGACATCGTAATGGTTTTTCACTGTTTTTAATGGACGTTTCTTGCGACCAAATATCCAACTTTTGCTAATTGCTATTAATTGCGATTTTAATAATAAAGTTGCAAGTTTGGTACGGAGATAGTGAACGAAGCTTCCGGTTTGATTGCAGAATGCCTAACGAGAACGCGCCAGTCTGCGAGTGCGAAGTGGTAGTGATCCTTCCGAAAACGCGAAATGGTACCCTCTCCTCGAAGAAGATGGCGCTCAGGATACCGAAATCGAAGGGGGACAAATCGGAGGGACGATCCGCGAAGAAGCAGCAGGAGGAGGCACGCTCGAAGAACAGGTCCTGCGATACCGGAAGCAGCAGCTCCGTGGCGGAACAAGCCAGACCCGCGACGAAAGCCAGCAAATACGAGAAACGATTGAATCACTCGAGGAGGACCAGAAGCGCCGACAGGGCAGAGTCACATTACACTTACATCGGTCAGTAGACTTGAAATTATTTCACCAAAATCATCTGAAAGAACAGTTTTGCTCAAACAGAAAATTATTTGGGCGGATGGTAGCAAAGTGATTAAATACATTAATAGCAAAGAGACTCTATGAATTAATATGGCAGATGAGTGAATTCCAATCGATGGAAACGAAGGTATTAAAAGTACAAATTACAAAGAAATCAACCCAAGGGAAATTTTATGCCTCGAGTCCGACGGGGAATATTCGCCAAGTGTCCAGCGTCAATTTTTACGGAAACTTTGCACGGTTTATAGAGCAGTCAAAAATAAGAGACGCTTAGTTTCCTTAAGCCGCTGAATCTGAACTTTCGCGAGTGAAACTTCAAAGTTCCGACCCTCTAATTTCACCTTGGAAACTGTCTGGAGTACAAAAATAAAAAATTTGTCCAACTTTCTTACTGGAAATAACATGTTGTGCAACGAATAACAGAAGTTCTTTTTCCAAGAGAAATTTATCTATCAGAATATAAAACATTATTTTCACTTGTTCAATTAATTATCAAATTTAGAATTTTAGCAAATTAATAGGATATTGTTTCCATTTGTTTGATCAATTATAGAACCTTGGTTGAAATCGTTTTGCGTAGATTCTGGGTCCAGCATACTCGGGGGTGGATTTAGGGGCTACGCTATACCAGAGGCCCTGTACGCCACCATTCCAGACACGCCGAACTCGAGTGGCAACGAAACCGGAAATAGTCAATTAAACGCGCAAAGTAGATCGCAACCCGTTTACGCCATTCCCTCTATGGTGTCGCCGCCACCCACCTACGATGTAGCGATCTCGAAAACGTGGCAGGTGAGTAGTTATTAATAGCCACCTGTCGAAAAATCCAGGACAGAAAACCTCCCCCCTTTTCCCCTACGATCTCCACCCTTTGCTTCTCCTTCGACTATATCCAGGTTACACCTAGAAAAGGGTGATTCTATAACAAATAAAAAAATAATATTATACTGCAAATGGACATTTAATTTACCAGAATCACTAAAATATATTTATTTATTTTTTTTCTTACAGATGCCTAGATTCCCAGAATAATATTTTTCAGTACCCAAGAATCGATTACTAATTGAATATCGATGGGACAGAAATTTTAAATGAATTTTTCAATATAAAAAATTCCTGTGAGGTACCTCGACTACAAAAACAGATCAATTAAACCGACACAAACGTTGGGATTGACGCGAAGATAAGGGCAGCATTGTTATCGCGTATAAGCAATTATTTCTTCTAATGGATCGAAACAATGACGGGCAATCGTTTGTTAATCAAAGTACCGGCACAAAGGTATTATTCGATCCGACTATTCTCGCTCATTGTTTCGCGTTACGCATATTTATTCCCCGTGAAATACGATATAATCCGTTCCCTCGAAACTTTCGCCACGCAGGGAACACGTTTACAGCGCGGCGCGATAAATTTCGAAACACATAAAAATCCACGATGGACAAAGCGTGGCCATCCGTGGCCGCGAAAAAAATAAACGTTCCACGAAAATTGTGACCGGGTGGCAGTATTTTCTGGAGTTTTCGACAGATTGGACGTCGACCCAGTAAAGTCGCGTTGCGTGAAATTAGGATCCGTATCGGAAGAGGGGGCGAAATCGGAGAACCTGTCGCCGTTCAAACGCCACGGACCCGAGCATTTAACTACCGAGTAGCAATGTCCGTCCACGGTCAGACGGCGGACAAAACGGCCGCAGTAGCAAAGGCCTTTGGCGGTCGGACTCGTTACACAGAGCCACGGCCCTGGATTTTCTGTAAACGCGGCGACGTTCGACTAATTGCGCCCCCCGCGTCGTTAATCATGCCCAAGGATCCAATTTGTAATCGGCGATCGGGAGAAAAACCGTGGGAAAACGAGGCTTCGTCTCCGGCGGAATTACCATCCGCGGCGTGAATTATTAAGACTATTTTTCACGGTAGGGAAACACAGCGCGCATAATAAATTGTACAAAGCTCGCATAATACATTTCGCGAGGCGTCCATAATAAATTTCGTAAAGGCTGCATAATAAATTCTCCGATCGCCTTTGACAATCAAGCCGGTTCGCGCGTTTTGCGCTCGAAAACAAATTCCCGCGGAACAATCGTTGTTACCGTAATACCAGAATACAGAGTTGCGCGTTATAATTGAATTTTTTAACGTTGCATTCGATCCTTGGCGGTTGAAATAATATTCGATCGTTGCTTGAAGCTGCAAGGAATTCTCGATAGCGGGACGAGGAACATTATGCTCGAATCGGTGGGCAAATTGGATCCTCGCTGACCAATCAAACTGGACGAGACCGCGCAAAAAAGAAACGACCATTAAAGGAATTCAGGGAACCGATTCATTTAGAGTCGTTCAGTGTACCGAATTAAAATGAAATCCAACGAAATGTTTGAGCAATGATCTGGCAATTTTTCGTTGTCGATTTTTCACGAACCTCGAGTCAGAACGCAAGTTATTAATGCGAGAAACGTGGTTTGGGTAAATTCGGTTTAAATTATCCGAGGATTTTTAAAAAGGCACGTGACTGCCTGAAGGTTGCTCGTTTTCATGGACGCGAGTCCAGTAAAAATTATAGATCTTCGTGAAAGGCACAAAGACAGTAATAAATCGATTACTGTTATTTATTGAGGGGGCTGTAAATTGCATTAAATCGATTTTGCTTCGAAGCGGCAAATATTACGGTGCATAAAAAACTTTACTCCGAGTCATATTTTTCGATACTCGAAGGCTCGATATTCTCGTTTAATGGAACTACTTATTTATGTTTTAACGTTGAAGGGTGTAAAACGAACGGACTGAAATTAATCATAATTAAAAGGACTCGGTAAAAAAGTTTGCACAAACTTGTTACAGCGAGGAGCAACGAAGGTTTCGACCATTTAAATTAAAGCGTTTCTCGTGTGAAAAATTAATCGCAGTCTTTTATATTGTTCCGTCAGCGATGACTCCTTTAAAAGTTTACGTCGTTTCAAAGTCGTCTCCTTTTATGATTCGTTGAACGTTCCTCGAACGTTTATTAACTCCAACTTCCTTTGCAATTTGCCGCACTGTGAGGATTTAATGGAAAGCCACCCTTGAAATAGCTCGTCTTTCTCAAGAAGTTGAGATAGCTTTTTTCCCCAGTAATTATGGAGGAACAGGGACACCTGTCCAATTTTTTTTTTCTTTGAAATTGTTAATTGCTTTTTTTAGTTGGCTCTGTATTATTCCACCGCTAATATTATTTGTTTTTAAAATGGTAGAATCTTCGAATAAATTCCCAAACAACACTCACTTTTCATCCCCTCAAAAGCTTTCTAACTTCAGCAAATATTAACCCGTTGCACTCCGAATTATATTTGAATTTTGTTACCAGCAGCTTCCAAAGCTTTTAAGTGTTTTATTTGAAATTTACGTTAGCTAAAAAGTAGGGCAAATTTAAACAAATTCAATTAAATATCTGTTTTATTTACATTATTGTTGTATTTTTTAATTTTCAAGTGTATGATATCTCCTTGGTTTGGACTTGAAAAAAGGAGCTCCTGAGATAAAAATTGATGTCGAGTCACACTCGACATAGGTGTGCATAGGGTTAAAACACTCCAATTAGAAACACAGCTGATTGCAAAGACCCCAAATAATTCTCACGAATATCCTGGTTACTAAAATTGTTCGAGCGAGAAAGGGGGTGGGGGGCGTCACAGAAAAGGCAAATTCGAGTCGCCCCGAAACTCGAGAACGATTTTGTTTCTGGTCGCATAGTTCCGTGGCGCCGGGCGACACATAAATTGTCGGTGCCACATCGTGGCCACCCCCGACGAAAAACACTGTTATCCACCCTCGTCCTCGTCGACCCACTTGAAAGTCCTGGCAACGGGTAGCGGTGCCAGGACACTTCGGATTTCGCTGAGTCTGTGTCGTTTCATTCTCACCGAGTTCTATCAACCGCCGTGGCTCGCAGTCGATTCGATACTTGGGAACTTCCACCCCCGCAACGGCAAGTTTTGAATTAACGTTGGAAGCCACCGTGAATCCTCCAAGGAGCGCATCTCGTATCCGCAATTTCTGCCGATCCGGTCCGGGGCTCGCTCAATTTCTTTCGATCAATACCCGCTGGAGGGAATTGACCTGAAAGGATCCTCGGATTATCTAATGAGTACCTTTTTACCCCTTTTCGACGAAGAAATTGGACTACGTCTTTCCCGAATAAATTACATTTGTACCTGATTTCGACCAAAATAGAACGCCGGCGAAACGATTAAAGAAAGGATCTCCACTATCGAGACTTTTAACGTTACAGGCAGTTTCTATGGCTCGTTTGTCAGTTGATTGTACAGCGAATTCTTCGAGAAGTTAAATATCAAGTTTGCTGCAAGAACCGTGGAGAACAGCAATTAAAGATGGACTTAATTGGTCCAGATTTTTTTCCTGCTATACGGTTCATTAAATGCTTTTAATGAGCCATCAGGGCACCTTATATTATTTAGTCGAATAATTTGTAACGTTGAACGGTCGAGCATTCGTTGCTCCGAACGAAAACACGCGAGAGTATTTGGCTGGAGAAAAATTCTGTGTTTCGTACGAATAAATCTGTTACAAATGAAATGACAATTTGGTATAGAGTTTCTAACGGTGAAAAATCGAGAGCTCGATGGGCTCGAACGCGGAGTTGGACAAGTAGTACGATGATTTATTCTCCCAAGTTTCGGAACAATGTCTTAATCCCGCAGTGGCGACCGACGATTTTCAACGCAGCTGAGATTAATGGCGACAAGGCATGAGTGAAACAGTATAAATTGGCCCGCGTCGAAAAGTTTGCTGTTAGATTGATACGGAAACTTTCGAGCGCGTTTCGCGTCACGAGAAATTCCAACTACGGTCATTGGAAAATGCACGTGTTCTCCGGCATTGAAAAGCGCGAATCTATCGCAAAAATTTCAAAATAAAACGGGATAAATGGTTCTACGAACTCGACAAGCAACGAAATAAATTTTGCCCAAACGGTCGCAAGACATGAAAAATTATAAAAGTGAAAAATGTGCATAATAATACGTTCGACGATAAATCTCTGTTGGATTCTACGGCTTCAAAACATTGTGATTTGTTTAAATTTCAGGAGGAAGCTAATAAATCGTGACTCAAATAAATCAACGATATTTCAAACTCTCACAATTGCTCTGTTGCAAAATTGAAATCGAATATCGAGTAAAAAAGAATAATATGAAGGAATTAAAATACGCATACAATAGATTACGATACAATGGCCAGCTGCAGTTGTTAATTTATCCTCAAATACGAACATGAAATATATATCCACGTTTCATTGTTCTCTAAGTTTCCACCTCGATTTTCCTTTTCAAATAATTATTGTTACCGTTCTATAATGTTTTGATGACGCTATTCGGAAGAGAGATCTCACGTTATAACAGGAAGTTATTACATTAATGGATAACAGCGAAACACAAGCCAAGATTACTGTTTAATTCAACCTCCAAGTTATTTCCACGAATATAATATAAAGGATCTGATATATTTCACGTATACAAGAATTCATTTTATTACAAATAAACAGAAACTGAAACTTAATTACTTAAATCGTTCCACGTTTGCATTTAGACGCCTTAATCGACTGAACGGTAACGAGTAATTAATTATTCGGGCTTGAAGTTCCATTGAAACTCATCAGCGACGGACAGTGTATTCTTTGTAAACGATCCACATTTTCTATCGCGCGATCCAATAAAACGGAAGTCCATTTAAATGCAGCTGCAGGGAAACGTTTCCAACGTTTACGTACCATCGAAACGGGATAAAACGAAATTAAAATGTTTTCTCCATTAGCGGGGGGCTCGACAACACTTTTTCCCAGCAAACGAGCCGTGAAATACGATTTCGAGAACAAAAAGTATCGTTCGTGGGAGTGGATTTCTACCCCGGTCGTCGGCGCTCGGACGATCGCGCGGCCATTTTGTCACGGGTGCGATCAATCTCATTAAAATTACAGAAAACACCGATGCAAACAGAGGCAGCGAGTCAGTAATCTTGAAACTCGATTCCGTCTCTCCGTCGATGAAAATCAGCGGAAACCGGTCGAATAAATGACGGGGGCCATTCGTCGGAAGGTCTCCTGGTTTCCGCAATCGAGAAACCTCGATAGAAAAAGCTGTTATCAATTTACGGTATCCATTTCAAAACACAGAAAGATCCATGGGCAATTCTGATCGACTCTTTCAAAAAAAAAAAAAGAAAAGTTTCAATCGTTTTTGAGCCACCATCGATCAACGATCGATGTTCATATTGCGACGAATAAAAAAATTTACTCGTTTCACTCGCGGAGTTTGAAATTGACAATGAAGTTTTCCATTCCATTCGTGGAGAAATCGAATTTACAATCGAAACTGAAATATCGTCTTTTCTTCATTGATGTATACTCTATAATAATTTGTATTTTGCGGATCATGTCCTATTAAAATTGTTTGGACGCCGCCCACATACTTTGGAGTAGACGATAATTAATATCTATAATGTCGATCGTTTAATTAAAATGTACGAATCCAGCGTAGCACAAAAGAGGTTTGAGTATCGATTTATAATGTGCAAGTAGGTAAATGTCGACGAACACTCAAGGTAATGAAATTTCGCACGCACAGGGAACTCGATTAATATCGGTTTAAAAATCGCATTTTCACGCGCGCTTTGCTCCCGAGAACGATCGAATTCGATCAACTTCAAAATCGGGCCAGGAAAGAACTCGTGCTCGCTTATGGGGAAACTTTTTTTTCGGAAAGGTCCCTCGAACGATGACGCGATAATTAAATTACACCGGTTAATTAATTTAGCTGCGAAGGTAAAACAGAAATCAACCAACGTCTTGATTTTCGATTTTACACGCGCGAATGAAAGCAACGGGCGACGACGTATCGAGATTCGCGTCGCCGACGCGGGGAAATCTTCCGACGTTTATTGTTCGTTAGGGAACAATGGCGATAGAACGCGTTTCTCGAAACGATGTAGATTTACAGTTTTCAATAACTGAAACTCCGCGACGAAACCGGAACGTTTCTCGATGCGAACGAATAACGCGAAGCGTCCGAGAAATTTCACGAGCAAAGTTTTATTTTATTTTCGCTCGTTTGATATTAACATCGAGTACACGCGACCTAGTTAATACAGAAACGAGCTGTACGAAAGAATCTTCTCTTTTAACTTTTGTTTCGTGTCTTCGAGAGAAACCAAGCTGCCCTAGATGCTCAGTTAAAGATTACACTCTGCACGTGACGCGTAATGAGCGAAGTTGGGTTCGAAAGAACATCGATGCATCAAAGTATCTTTGGAAATGTCGTGAAATAATGCACGAGTAACTCATCTGCGAGCGAAGTGACCAAAAAAAGGAAGAGAACGAGCGGCGTCTCGATGCCGCGATAGGGTTTTTGCTTTTCGAACAATTGGCTCGAGTTCAAATTCTCCAACGCGCCAAAAAACTGTTTGCTTCCATTCGTTCGTGCGTTATCGCGCAGTAAACAACCGGACGACCTTCGTCTGGAACGGCGTTTTCGATTTTTAATATTTTTCGCGCATTATTCGTTCAATTTTAAATTAACGTAGGAGGCGGTCGACAGCCGTAAACGAGTTCCCATAACTCGCGGAGGAACTGCGTGTTCCGGCCATTAAAGTTCAAATTCCTACGGCAAGGTTAAACAACATTTCTCGTCAAAGTTCCCCTAACAGCAATTAGTCAAATTACAGTGGCAAAGCCGCTGGCAGTGTCCCTCCGAATCGAAAGATTAAACAAAGCGCCATGCCGGTCGCATTCGTGCCGTCCAACGCGATTTCCAGCTCTGCTTTCCGACGATCCGACCAATTAGACGATACGATACTATTAAAACCCAACGCCACGTACCTCGTTACCAAATTGCTTCTCCCAACAATTCGTGGGCTAAATTCGCGATAGAGATTCGAGAGGTTCTTCAACGAAAACGGATGTTCCAAGTATAATGTGGAGTATGAGTATAAATCATTGATACTCGTACACCTTCGATCTATTCGCGCAGGGCCATCTTCCTATGGTGGCAACGCTTCCCGTGTTCGCCACCAGAGGGCCACGCTCTTGTCTCTCTCGCAAGTACTCGTGACGTCTAAGGGCGGTGAGCGCTCCTCTCTCCTTTCTCATTCGTACCTCGCTCATTTTCTTCTAGCATGTTGAAAACTGCGTTTGCATCATACCGCGTTATTGTTATTTTGTTCTGTAAACATACATAGCCGAAACCGTTTCACTAAGTCTTTATTCTCATTTATACAATCATCCATCCCTTATAACACACTGCTAAATAGACACAAACCGTTACAAATGGGGACCACTGAAAAATAAGAACCCAGCACTTCTCTTGGCATATCAAATAGCCCCCATACACAAAGATGATCAAACGATCAACGTTGTTTAGAATTACAAGAATGGACGAAAGAAGAGTCGTAGATTTTGGAACGATTCACCTGATCTCTGATTTCAGTCCGGTCTGCCACCGACCTACGAGGAGTACCTGCGCCATAAGCGCGTCATGTTATCGCGATCCCATACCCCTCCGCCGCCATGGTCGGACTCGACGACGACACCGCCAGCGCTGAGCGCCCAATCGCGTCGCGAACTGTTGGCGAGTCAACCGGAGCTCAGAGACTATCTGGCCCAGTTGTCGCTGTCCCAGAACAACGAACGATCCAGCAGCGGCCATCATCATCACAATCACCACCAGGGCACCGTGCTGAGGGACAGCAGCTACCTCTCGAATCAGCAGGCCTCCAGGGAGCAGCAAGTCAGAACGCAACAACAACGCACTCGAGCAATGCCTCCCAGGTGAGTTGAAAGGTCAAGACGAGAGAAGGGTTGTTCCGGGGGTGGAAAGCCGCGCGAAATAATTCAGGTGGGTTGTTCCGGGGCGACCACGTGTCTACGACACCCTCGAGACTCGTACAAGATTGGAGCTGACGCGAGTACAATTGTCGGGTACAAGCTCCTCTTGAGCGGAGATTTCCTTCCGGATTCTACCTCGCTGGATCTCGATCTTTCGCGAAAATATATACCACGTATAACGTTTCAACTTTTAAGCGGATTATTGGAAATTATTGTGGCCCTCCATGCGCTCTTTGCATTTGAACTCTACAATTTTAACCGATCTTGTGCAAAATTTAACACGAACATTTTGAAGATGTCGAATTGCATTCGTTTGTTTGTTCACAAAGAATATTGCATTTCTTCTGTTGTAAATTCTTCCTTAACCCTTAAGTGGATTATTGGGGCCTTCCACAAGTTTAAACTAATATTTTATAATATATATCAATGTAATTATTCCAAAATTGATGTAATCTTATATTAGTTCATTATTTTTTAAATGCTTTAAAGTTGATTTCCATTTACGGATTTGGTAAAAATCAACATTAAGTTAAATAATTTTTTTTGCGTTAATTTTGACATTTTACCTGTCTCTTATTCTTATACTTATAGAAATGTTAAATAAAATTTGATGAAAGTGTCTACTACGTTAAATCTAAAATAACAGGCTACCGGTCGGTGAAGCATCAACGTAACTTTGATTCGCTAACGACGAAACCGAATAATATATCTGTTTTTCGCGTTTCGAGGAGAACAAAGACCGAGAAAACGATCAAGGATGGTCGTGTCCCTTAACCGTTGCGTGTAATTTCAGATCACAAAGCGAGAGCCGGGTGCAGCAGCAGAGAATCGCGACGATGTACGACGACGGCGCGTTCTGCATGGAGATGACCGCGCTGCAGTCGGCGGTCGAGAACGGGATAGCTTTGTGCAGTGTGATGTAAAATGACCGGACATCCGGGGAACGGGACGGAACAGACGAAGGATTCCAGAGATCCGGGAAAATTGTATTTGAGCACGGTCACCTCACCGCGATCGCTCGAAACGAAGAATTTCATTGCTGATGCAACGAAGCTTGATCAAAATCACGACGACTAAATCTCCGCTCGACTTTGATAAAATCGACCTCCGGTGTTTCCCTCTTCCTCGATCCTCCATTCTACCGTCGCGTTCGACGATTAAACGCGGTCCACGATTCGACTTGAGAGGGGAGGGGAGGGGATAAAAACGAATCGCGCGGGAATCTCGAAACTTCCCAGACGCCCGAAGGCATTGGGGATTTTCAAACTCTTCGGAACTACGGCCGCGAAAAGTTTCCAGGGGAACGGGGAGTTTCGACCGCGAAAAATTCTCGAATCCAGCGAAACTTTACGCGCATCGACGTCTCTCGACGGTACTAAAAAAAAAAGTTAATAATTTGTAGACAACATAGTCACGCTTCGTCGTAACGTTTTCGACCTTAAACTTTGGCTCGTCTTCGTGGAGAAAACTTGCACGCATAATATATTACACGGAACCAGAAACGCGGTGATTAATTTTTAAACGTCAGACGAAGTGGATGGTGCAGAGTTTTATAACGTAAATCTTAATTTAAAGTGTTTACGGTGTACAAACGAGGCGTAAGTATTAGAAATTGTGTTAAGTTGAACGGGATTTTTACCATCGGCGTAGTTACGAATTTTTTAAAATTGAATTCGGTGAATTGCTGAAATAATAAGTAGGTCGTATAATATAATATAAACGATTTTTATAATTCCTCTTACGTGCGAGTAAAATTAACGACACCGCGGCTACGTGTCGAATAGTTCACTTTTAATCGTATATATTGCCAGGGATTGAGAATACTTCGTCCATCGTATCATTATAATTGCATTCCACATACTATTATAAATAAAAATTGATGGTGCCCAACGAACGATTCGATCCGTAATTATAAGTTTTCTTTCTAAAGGGGATCTAAAGTTTAAAGTAAAAAGCGTCGAAGGATGTTTTCTACAGGTTATTATTATCGTAATAGATGTACCAACTCAGCCGTCGATCTTCGAACGATCATCGTCGTCCGCGCAAAAACATCGTCGCGAAACGATCAACCGGAAACGCTGTTTGAAACGGCTCCGTCACCTCGAATACAATTTTTATCGAAACCGGCTCGCGACGAGCAAATCGAGCATAGAATGTTCGAACGTGAAAATTCTATTCGTCACTCGCGGTTCGTAAACGAGCAATCCTCCTTTGTGTACCCGAACGTTTCGTCCTCGAAACGCGGGAAAAATCACTCCGCGCATCGCGAACGATAAATTTTCAATTGCCTTCGTGCTTCCTGGCTGGTCCAGGTCTTGTGCGCCTAATGAAAACGAAAGGAAAGGGAAGAAAAGTAATTTACTGCATCGAACAGATTCTTTTTACAAACACGCCCACCTTACCGATCCAATCAGATTGATATTTTCACCAACGTTCCCTTCGTTTCCGATGAAATTAATTTCTCGCCTTCTTTCGAATCGATTCGCAAAAGTGGCTTACTTTGTCGGCGTTGTAAAGAGACGATGCAACTGTTCGAGAGACGAACAATGATTTCGTTGGCCTAATTTGAAAAGTACAATCCTTTCGTCCCTTCGTTATCCTGATATTTCATTGCCCAACGTTTATTTACGAATGTAATTTTCCATCGATGCACATGTAATCGCATCGAATTATTTGCATAGACGAGCATAGGATTCGTAACAAATTTGATGAATTTCTCGATAGGAGACGTTTCATTATGAGTTTAAACAAAAAAATTCGTAGTAAATGCAAAGTGACTGATAATATTCTTTCGATTGCTAAAATCACGTTGTATTTGCTTCGCGTTTCGAAAACACGATTTTGCTGGCAAAACGAATCGAAGCTTTCAACGAGTCTCGTTGAAGCAGTAACGATGATCATCGAGTTAGCCAATCGTCCGGAAACGAGATCAAAGATTCGTGTTCATTGACACCTTAACAAATAAGTAAAGCAAAATACTTAAGGCCGTGCTCTGTCTTCGCTACAAATAATATTCATCATCGTCACGCTGAGTTTTCCAACACGCAGAAACGATCGAATCTCCCCATACAGCTTTTCTCCCTGCAAATTCTTTCCGTTCTGCTCTCCAAAATGTGTTTCTTTCCCCTGAGAAAAAAACTGTTTCCCGTACGTCGATGCATCGACGACAAACGGAGCAAAAATTTGGCTTTTTTTAGCGATCGAAACGAGACGAGCGGAACTTGAGTTCCGTACGAGCGCCGGTATAAAATTTTTATTTTTGTCACTGTAACGTTTAATACGAACGAATGTCGTAGTTTGTTCTAGCTATCGTACGATTATAAGGGAAATAATGGGTGTCTAACGAGAAACGAAAGACGATATAAATTTCTATAGAGCGTAGGGATACCAGTTAATATTCGCTGTCCTGTTGTATATAAACGTAATTAATTATACAACACGCGGGGGGAGTTTCTGTTCGGTCTCTAAATGTGTTGAAACGTTTCATCTCGTTATCGTTTCCAACGTCCCGAGAGTTTCGACGAAGCATCTCGAAACAGAGCAGAAAGAATTTCTGAACTATTTTTCGAACACTTTCTCCGCCGTGCGTAGAATTTAATTTGCAGCGTTTCAGCGAATCGCTCGAATTTCTTTGCTTGAAACCAGATCGTCGATTCGTTTCCTGGTGGTCCGAATATATTCGACTAAAACGAATACATGCTCGTTAATTACGAACACGGTTCAATAATCGAGCGTTTCATTCAAATAAAATAATGTGTCGGACAAGTGTTCGTTCACGAAGTCTTACCGATTCGTTGGCCAAACAAAGAGTGGGCCAACGAGTTACTGTTGTCACACAGAATGTTTCGAAAAGAGGTTCACAGATTTATTTAAACGATGGAGAAAAAAATCTTAGACGTTTACATATTTAAATGAAATTTGAAGTTAAAATAAGTTTGTTAAAGAAAATGTTTAACTTCTGTTCCAAACTGCGTTAATTGGCGTTATACCGTATCCACAAATTAACGAGATCGTTATCCAGACGAACGAGTAATCATTTCACTCAAGAATCGGGCCATCAATTTTTCTACGCGAATCGCTACGAGTCCCTTCCGGGGCGAAATTGCATTCCTCGGGAGTTAATCGTCCCAAACAGTAATTTTAATGGTAATCACAGTAATTAACCTGTGTAAAATTATCGAGCCACTCGACGTACCGTATCAGACGATAGGGTGAACCGTAATTAAGTAACGACGCCCGCTCTAGGTGGCGTTCTATCGAATAGCCTGTCCTAACGACATACAAAGCAGAAAGTAGCGTGTAAAGTCGGTGTTTAAATGCAGAGAAGCGTGTTAAACATGTAGACTTAGCGTAAAATTGTCAGCGTCGACACGTTCGCGTAGAACAACGTTACGAATTCACGTGTAATTTAGACGGCGACGCATGTCGACTTAACATTTAAGAGTTCCCTTTTCGAGCGTACGCATGTATCGCCCTTCGACAAACTAATTCCGCGTCGAAAACACGCGTACTTGTAAATACCCAGTGTTGTTCGTCGAACGTTCAGAGCTGTTTGTAAATTTTGGAGCACCAAAAAAGATTTCTCATGTAAAGAAATTGTTTTATCGGAGTTATCGACGATTGCCACTGGTCTGGTAATTAGTAGGACACGAATTTGAAAAGAAGAAAAATGTCTGAGCGACGAAGGATTCGAATAATGGAGGATCTTGAGCGTTCGGTGCACAATGTACACGCATTGAAGTCTCCGATGGAAACGGCGCGCGAGACAGATGGTCTCCAAAATTTAACAACAGCATTCTGCGAATAGCAATTAACTTTCTCGATCGCGTAAAATGTTTCACACAAACGTTGCTTCCAATCGTTCAATAGCAAGAAATGGATGTACGATATTTGTTAACCCTTGAACGACTATCTTCTTTTTATTTTTAATATCATTACGTTTACGATCTCAGTATCTGAATTTTTTGGAGTCTAATTTAATTATGGCCTACAGTTTACAATAACTATATTACATTTTTTCAAATCCATTAATTTTGTGTCTTTAAATTTACTTTTTAGGAACAGTTCTATCGTATAATTTGCTTTCGAGCGGTCGTTTAGGGGTCGAGGATACACACCGTGCTACTCATTATTGTATATAACGATTATCATTGTTTCGTGGACAAATTCAATATATACGCTTCGCTACGACGAAGAACGATGTTTCTTGGCGAAACGAATCGTGTTTTAACGCTACGGAGCGTCGCTATTCTTGACGACATATTGATTTTTCTTTCCTGTACGAAACACGGATAATTTAACTATCCGTTGCATCGAAATTTTTCCTTTTGTGTGCTCGTTAAACGTTTAAAAACCAAGGAATAACTTGCCTTTTGTAATGTTTTAAAAATTAAATAAAATTCAGTAGGTTCGATTTTCTCTCTCGGTAGTTCTCTATCGTATCGTAATAATTTCTTGTAATATCATTTGGATTCCACGGCGTGGAATAGTTACGAAATGATCGCGAAATTCGTGACAGTATAATCGATGAATATCCCACGAATCATGGCCGAGGGATTACTTGCCATTCGAGTCGATTCACCATAGAAACCTTCGCTCGCACGCAACGTGAAACATGAAAATGTTAAATTTTTTTAAACAGTAAGGTGTAAAGGAGACAGTATATATATTAATGTTACAAAGAACGAACCGTGTAGGTTAGTATCCACGGTCCTCGCTGTGTTTAAACAATCTAATGTTAGTTAACCTTCAGTCAAGTTTCACGCCGATGCAATGCACAGACGATTCTCCTGTCCGCTGACTATTTTATTTTTTAACATCGTATAAGACACGAATAACATAAATAAAAATGTCCACGTCTGGGCATTTCCTTGTATCTTAAAAATAAAAAAAAAAAACGAAATCAAGAGAAATTTCATTAGAAAATTATGCTCGAAATATGGGTCAGAAAAAAATGACCTGTTACGGTTGTTTTATTGACTATTAATCGTACAATATATGAACACAACAGATGAACCAAACGCGAACTAAATATACCTCGACTCGAATTGTGTGTAAAAAATTTAAAGTTGCAAAATTAGAGATGCATTTTATATAAGAGGGTCAGCGTAAGGAAAATCACTGTGCGAGCTGACGTACGTCTAAGCGCACATGGTCGATCGTTTAAACGACAAGGGATAATAAACCGTGAAGGTATGTGGATTTATTCTTCGGCTTCCACCGTCGCGATTGCAGAGAAATGGAACTCAGGACTGCCAAAGAGCGAGACATTTCTAAAATTTGTAGCTCGAGACGCGCGAAGTCGCGAAACGACGCGAATCGGCGCTTAAATAACCGGTACGAGGTGTGTTCGCGTTGGATCGATTTACGAGTTCTCGTAATTTTTAAGGGACAGAGACGGGGGAAGGATCTTTGGTTAACAAATTTAATTCGTAAACGAAGAGTCGATCGTCCGACGATGGACGGTAGAAAGACACGCAAACGGTGGAAAAAGCGTCCTTTTTCCCCGTATCGAGAACGGAGTTTGAAGAGGTAGCGTTGTATGTAAGTAAAAATAAAGAAAAAAAAAAAAAAACTACGATGGTATATTGTAGATGGATTGCATTGACATAGAAATATTTTTCTCATCGTCGTGTAACTCGTATTATTTTTCCGTGAATGTCGGTGTCCTTTTTCCTGCCAGCGAGCACAATGACACGTTCTAGATGTACGAAATAAAACGATGGAAAAGTAAAAATGTTCGCGACTAACGAGAAACTAATTATAACGTTCTGTCGGTACCGCGTTTACGACGAACTAAAAGCTGAAATCGCTATGTCATATTGTATGTTGTGTATATTATGAATGTTTAGAGGACCAAGAAATATACTGTACCGGTGTAAAGACAGTCTCGTCATTTATCCCTCGATTCTTATAATCTATTTTCATTCGTCGATATCTTTAAAATATCCTCGAGTCTCGTACGAGGCTCACAAAATTTAAAAGTCGGTCGAATAATTAGCAAAATCTATTTTTGTGAAACAATTTTTTTTTCGTACGAACAGAGAATCTAAAGAATCAATTTTAAAACAAAATGGTGACTCGAAATGCTGGGTAATATGGCAACGAACGACAAGAAACTTAATAATGGCTTACAGTTTTGTTATTTCGTAACAAGCGTTCTCGATTCCACGGAGGGAATTAGGGTCGAAAAGTGCAGGATTACTATGTTAAACGAGTGTAAGGAGACAAGCAAATGGAATGATGTAAAATGATCGCGAAGGCGTGACTTAAATACCTCGGCTAGCGACTGCAGACGCGGCGAACGTATCTAATTTCGCGGTATCTAATTAAAGAATGCCACACCTCCCGCAATAACCCAGACGGCTTCCCACATGTACACGTCAATTAAATTAGGACAATGGTCTCAAAAACGGATTTAACGCCTCTTAGATACGCGTTATACTTCGCAAAGTCACTGCAAACTCCCATTTGCAATTACTTGTTAACCGATTATTTATTCCATAACTTTGAACTTACCTTCATTATTGAAACGGTTACAATCTCGAGTATTAAAAGATGATGAAAAGGCGATTGCAATGAAATTATAAAATTTACAATCATTATGCAATTTTAATTTAATCAATTAAGTCTATTACAGTTTTGCATATTTTTAACAATTTTTTAATATTCCATAGACTTAAAATAGAAGAAATTCAGAACAGAGATCGGCGTTAAAAATAATCAAGCGTATATTAATAGCACGCTACACAGGTCGATCGACAGGTTTAATGCCTATTAATAATACACCAGCAGATTATTGGAACCTGGTAAACCTACGCTAATCTGTCCTAATTAAAAAATATTGATCGATTTAATGATTAAATTGCAAGTCAAATTCAAATCTTCTAAAATACTAAAAAATCCACTAATTTCCTAATTGTAATTCCTCGTAAACTTAAGCTATCACTATTTTTAGTATTTACGAATACTTTACGGTTAAAAATCAACCGACACAAACAATATCACATATATTTCTAATTCTGTGTTAAAATTAAATTCCCTACTAAACGGACCGTACAATTAACCCTAGCAGATAACATTTATACCAAAATACTGATTTCGTAAATTTAATTCTTTACTCGACGAAATAAAACATTAACTTGAATTTCTATGCACTGTGTGACGTATCAAAACTTACTCAAACTTATTGCAACTTATTCAATGGGAGTCTCTAATGGCGCGTTAGAATTCGGGAACTTTGACGCCATCGGGGACGCGGAAGATCCTCTCTTCCGGCGGAAGTTCGCCTATGCGGAGCCTCTCCAAGCTTCGTTTGGCGGCTCTCGAGTGTCCAGTGCCGATGAAGGCCAATGTGGCGTCCCTGCCTGCGTACTCGAGTATCACGTCCGATCCACCCGGGTGATTTCTCAAAAAGTCCGTGCAATCGTAAACGAAATCGTAAATGACGACCCAACAATTGTCGGCGGTATCGTGCCAGGCTACTTCGTCCAAACTGATGGTCCTAAAGCCCTTCGATTTTTCCTTCTCGGCCGTTCTGAGCTCCTCCTCGCTCACAGAGTCCTTTTCCAAATTTAGAAAACCGTCGCTCTGTGGCGTCAAGCTCCTCAAATCCAGGGATCTGATGGTCAAACTTAGGAGATCCATTTCACTCGATCCACTCTCGCTCGCTCTGGAAAACAAAAATAATTACAGGTCTTGAAAAACTAAAGTACCGTTCCTTTTCTACAAATCGAATTTTGATACTTTTAATGGCACATTTCGTAAGAATATTATTAATGGATTAGACGAAAATGAGTTTGGACACGACCTAACGGTGGCCTCTATCGTTCTGGGGCACATCTTTCTGATTTCTAATATTTGGTGATGTTTGAAACTGTTTGTAGAACTATTGAGGAAGTTGGAATTTCTAGTATTTGATGATGTTTGCTCGTGGTTTGAAACTGTTTGTAGAACGTTTGAACGCGCATAACGGTGGTTCTATCATTCTGTGACACACCTTATTCCTTATTGATGATGTTTGATCGTGTTTGAAGCTGTTTGTACGAGCGTTTGTGGACGAAACACGCGTCGCGACTAAGCGTGGCGTTACACCATCGCATCGATCTTCCATGTCCCGACCTGACATGTGCTGACACGGACGTCGCGATAAGTTCGCGAAGAAAATGGTGAAAGTCGAGGTTGGAAATGACGGGGTCGCGTGTCAGTCGCGTGTCGAGTTCCCTGGACGCGATAACGGGGAAAAGTATTCGAAGGAGATAAGGATCCACGGAAATATACGACTACCAGAGGTCAAACCAAACTTCCCCTTGATCGATCATCGATAATTACGCGAAAATGGCGTACATAGGAGAAGAAATTTTACAATCTAACTATTAGTTGTGTCGAGAGACAATACAAAAACCACTGCATTTCTTAAATGATATCTGATAAACAGAACCAGTTGCTACTGACCATAGGTAATTGACGCTACTTGAAATACGAAATTAAAATATGATTCGAGTTTTCTGCACAGCCTCACCTTGCTGAAACTATTCTAACACACTACAGAGCCATTCATTCGTTCGACCAAGCTCACCGAGACTGAGATTCAAGAAATCAATTGCCAATTACTTTACTTTTGACTGGTCCGCGCGGTTCTCCTCCATTTTCCAGGAACATTCGACCGTCTAAGCGCGTTCTTACCCAAGGGACATTCCACGAAGTACTGAACCGCCATAGAGAAATCGAGTCCCCTTCGAGGAAAGGAAAATAATTCTATTACCGGTTGAAACCCAATGCGTGCTGGCAAGGTGTTCGCCTGGCCACGCACTATCTTAGTAATCCAATGCTGTCGCGAACGTGTACTCTTTGCATTGTCGATGCAACCTAATCGAATTTTCTTCGAACAGAAATCGGTCCAGAAACCTCACTTATACGTATCTTTATAACAATAAAATAATACGAGTAGTGACAGCGTTGTACAGTACGCGAGAAAATGCATTGTAGGAAAGAGAAACTCCGAATTACAAGTATCAATATCTCACAACGTGCTTCCCACATTTCATAACAATTTCGTAACCGTATCTAGACGTAAAGTGACGCTTTTATAAAGTCTGATCGCTACGGTCATGTTATTGATAATATTATTGTTCGTGCGTTAGAAAAATTTCACTTACGTCACGTTACGTCATTATGAACGTATCGTCTGAATAATTAAATTAATCAGCTCTTACCAAGGACGGCTCTTCTTTCACGAAATCCTTGTTGCGGTACGAGGTGTCCGATAATTTATAAATCTTTCGTCAGTGATCGTAAATTTGAGACAAATTAATTTTCCGAGTCGACTGGTTTATTTTTTGGAGTTGTGTTGTTTGACGACTGAACGTTAAGCGTGATCGAGAAGTTGAGAATGGTGAATGAAGACTGATGAGTTGTCTGATGAAACATCTAAAGTCGAATCCTCCCTTCCAGTGTGCCCTAAACACCTTTGGAAGGGGGAGAATTGTGGGGATTCCTAACATTTTTACCTCTGTGTGACGTTTCCTTGGAAATTCCGAGGATTATGAAATATCCAAAATCACAAAATTACTCACACGCGATAGAATAATAAATACGGTCATTTTCCAAACACTAAGGCTATTTTAAAAAAACACTTTTTCGATTGCAGCCAAGAAGATGACACTTTATTGCAACAAGTAACGAAGACATAGTCAGAAATTTTGTTAGAGTACCAAAACACTGTAATTCGATATTTTTCGCTGCACTAAAAAACGAGACGAACATCGATGATTGCGTCGCGGAACGTACTTCGCGGTTTTCATTCGTAAAGCGATACATCTGGAGGTCAGAAGTAGATTTTGCAACGATCGTCTGGTATTATTGATAACAGAAACCGACGTAAGCTACCGAGATACAAGGTTGTCATAATATCATTAAATCATATAAGTCGAAACATAAATAATGAGATGATATATTAATGAAATACGTTAATTAAAAATCATGTTACTTTCTTGGTGAACCTTATCATTAACGATGACTTCATTTAAAATCAACGACGCACTAACTGAATACGTACTTCCATTGAATAATGGCGAATGAAATTTTAGAGTTCCGAGAGAAATCTGTGCAAACGCTGAAAACATTCGATAGAATAACAAGCACATCTGCTCACAATTACGATGCAATTAATAATTAATAATTGTTTAACTTCGTAACTTTGCACTTATGAGGCATAAAATCGACGAATCTATACTTATTCTAATACCATTAACCATCTTTTTGTAATTTTAAAGAGCACCAAGAAATTTACCAAAGCAATATTACTCGAAGGTAGGTGCAAAAATTCGACGAAATTAAAAAATTTCAAATCGTTCTGAAAAAATTATTTTTGGCTGTGGAGGTTAATTACAATCATTTTTCGTGAATAGACATACCCCCGAAATCCTACGCACTATTGGACAAAAAATTCATTACCGAAAATACAATGTCTGACCAGTGTCTGAATGATTCCCTGAAATTTCATGCGTATGTTTAAAATATCATAACTTCTGAACGGCTTGGAGGATTTTAATGTTTAAAAATGCAAACAACGCGTATTTTAGTGGAGAATGTGTAGACATTCTAAAAATATTCAAAAAGTTGTTCCTTAACCTCGTAAAGTAAGAAAAACTCCATAAACTTGGTCCAATTTTCAAACGACCATAACTCCTACAATAGTGAATATATTTTAATGAAATTTTGGGAGGAAGTAGAGTTTATGGATACCTACAAAAAAGTATTAAATAATTTTTCTCTAGGGTGCCAAACAAAATTACTAAAAATCAAAAACTAATTTTTAAGTAGAATCGACAGGGAGGAGGTGCCTAAATATTTCGGCGAAATTGAAAAGTTTCAAATCATCTTAAAAAAATTATTGTCGGCTGCGGGGGTCAAATATAATCATTTTTGGTCGATAGACATACCCCCGAATTCCTACGTACTTTCGAGAAAAAAATTCGAGTAGGTGCCTAAATTTTGCGGCGAAATTGAAAAGATTCAAATCACTCTGGAAAAATTATTTTCGATTGCAGGGGTCAATTACAATCATTTTTGGTCAATAGACATATCCCCGAATTCCTACGTACTTTCGAGAAAAAAATTCGAGTAGGTGCCTAAATTTTGCGGCGAAATTGAAAAGCTTCAAATCACTCTGGAAAAATTATTTTCGATTGCAGGAGTCAATTGCGATCATTTTCGGTGAATACATATACCCTCGAAATCCTAACCATTTTCGAGAAAAAAATTTATTACCGAAAATATAATGTGTGGCCAGGAATGTTTGTGTAATTTTATTTTCTGTCTCACTTCCACTTGTGTTTATTTCTAAATCTGTTGGTAACGTTGCGAGTGACACGAACATGGTAATGGGGCTTCAGAGCCCCATAAAAATGGGCCGAAAAATTACATTGGAAAGATCTATTCGTATACTTCGTCTGTGACCATACCTCGATTATTGCAACATCGTCGGTGCCTAACCGTACGTCGATACAGAAGTTAGTTTCCCATCGTAGTACACGTTGGCAGCACGCAACAACATTTCTATTTAGCAACTAATGGACAATATCAACCGAGAGAAGCTCAGCATCTCTCAGGGAAAGCTAGACTCCTCGATCTATTACGAAACTTTCCCTTCGAAATGGAAAACTTTGCAAATAAAAATCAATAACCTGCCTTAGATGGTAGAACGTGCAACGAGACCGAACCACAGAGCTCGATTTTTCTTTTAACAGAGATACACAAATATTATTTGCAAACGAAGAACAGTGTTTACGCGATCGAATCGTCAATTTCGTGCACGGTTCTCGCCAAAGAGATTTATCGTTTTTACGTGAATTATTTTGAATTTCGATTCGTCGAATCTCGAGGGAGACGACAGAGTCACGGGTGACCCCTTTTCCCTTGTCGACAATAAAATCTATTGAATTTTACGAAGCATATTACAGAAGTGGCTGGCTTCGATTTTCCGGTAAACGCCGCCGCGTCTCGATTTTCCGACCAGTGCGCACATATTCTACCCTACATTCGAAATATGTACTACATAGGTTACGCGATACGTACGTAAACGCGTTCCACCGTCTCCCCCTATTTTATACTCTTATTTATATACGCCGCGTTACTTAGGGGAGGCAAGTTTCTTCGAACTGAAATCTTGTTGCATTACGGAGGCAACAACGCTACGCCAGGCAGGGCATTCTGCGAAAGTAGTCTCGTTTAAACACAGAACTCGAAAACGTTTAAGTCCATTTCGAAACTGCGATGGTCCAGGGCTTTGTCGGGGAAGCGTTTGTGGTTTAAAGTTCTTCAAAATACCTTATAAGTCTCTGGAAATTATGGGTACGTTCAGACATTGTTACAAGTTTCCGTCTCGTGAAAAACAGAATCGGAGAATAGTTCTTATTTTTATTTCTTTCTACTTATACACAAATGTCAGTTTATTCTTTCGATTTATTCATCGATAGAGAATGGTCTTCGGTGTTTGCATTATTTTTTTGTAATTTTAAAAATCCAGGCACGATCAACCAATGTTAATAATCGATGTTGAAAGCACGTAGTACGTAATTTGGTTGATATAATGAAAAATGATAAAGGACGAAGACATCTAGCTTTGTATACCTAGCCATTCACGATGTACTGAAATTGTAGTAAATGACTAAACTCATGAATAGTTCCGGGAACTGTTCGAAATAATTAGAAGCTCGACTGCTCCAAATAGCTTCATAAGCTATTCATTAAGTGAAATTATAATTATATTAGATATACAGCGTTTACGTCATCCTCGAAGTACCGTATTGTATTTATCGTTTCATCGGAACACGCAAACCTTTAATTATTTCGAATCGATTTAAACGCAAATTTCATACTTAATCATTCACTATCGCCGGCCGGGATTTAAATTATAAAGCATCTCTTAATACCGTTTACACGTTCCCCCAATTAACGGGCTCAATCTTTGTTCTGGCCGTACATGTTATAAATTTTAATCTTTATTTACGTGGAATGGACATAACGATTTCTTCTTTTTTCACAACTGGTTCATCGCCCTATCGCACGTATCGGTTGCAGTAATTTTTCAAACGCCATTTGTAACTATTTCTTCTCCACGTTGGGGAAAATATTAATAATCTACGACGAGAATCTCGTTTTGATGTTCATTACGCAAGAAATTAAATTTAATATCGAATTGCACGATATAGCTGATACAGCTTAAATTATTACGCCTACTCTGCGACTTTTATCCGTTTATATAAATAAATAATACAATTTTGTTGTCAGTATTCTGTTGTTCGGTTTAAAAATTAAATCTACTAATTTTTTAGGTTCGAAACATAATAATCACGCTATATTGTTATTAAAGCAGCATATTATCGGATTCTACGTTGGCCAATAAAGGTTATTGCAGACGCGATATTACAGAAGTTCTGGTCGTGATGCAGCTGCAAAATGAAATCGAAGTCGATTTATCCTTTCCACCGAGATCTCTCGTCAAAAGTACATTTATTAATAACGCCACGCTGAAAATAAATAGCTTCCAAAAAGCGTGGTCGATTTCTTTTAATTTTTTACTTTATCGAAATAAGAATTCCCAACTTTGGGCGAATTCGACGACCCAGATTTTCTCGAAGTCGGTTCGATTACTATTATTCGCGTAACGATAATCGTCCTCTTGGCGAGAGAACATTCCTAAAACCCGCCAGCAATTGATACGCGACTAAAGCAGGAATGGAATCAATACGCGGCGGAGCTTAATGAATCGTGTGATAGGTTGCTTCTTTCCACGTGGTTTAAGTATTTGACAAACAACATCGAACGTGTGAAACATATTTAAATAATAAATTTGAAGATCAAAATAGCTACAAAACGAAGAAACGTCTTGTTTTTCGAACCGTTACACGAATTTTACCTCCGAAAAATATCAGGTGTTCCTCGAACGGTCTCGAATCCATTTTTTATCCTTTCCTGTGATTCCTGCGCATCATTCGCTCGCGTTGAATACACAATAGATTTTAAATGGCCGGATCTGGGTCAGGAAACCGTGGTGGCTACGTTGGGTCCATCCATCGGCTCGCGAAGGTGTTTCTTCAGGTACGTTTTCGCAGCACGAACGAAATGTGGCGGTGCACCGTCGTTGCATGAACCATAAGTTACCACTGATGTACAGGAGCATACCGTGCAATATTTCTTGAAGCTTGTTCCGCGAGAAATCAAGACAAATAGACCCACTTCGTCGATCTGGGAGGAACTACGGCCCTAAACGACAATCTCTCACAATGCTTAGACATTAACTGTTGCTGGCGCCTTGATTACAAACTTCTGATTAGTTGTGTCTTTAACGCTGGAACTACCGACACTTGTGGTGCATTTGTATCGAAGAAATTAAAACAGTAGATACATGGAGAAATGTATAATGTAATGGAAATAAATGTTTATCAATTTTTATTAGAAATTACGAATGAGTTATTTTGAGCATCTAGGTACTTATAGTGTTAAACATCCCTTGTTTGAGAATTAAAGTATGTAGAATATTCATAGGACATTTTCTAGCATTTTTAATCATTGAGTTCTGCAAGAAAACATGAGACAAAAATGTTGAATAAAATTTGTTTGCAATAACGTAGGATTTGTAGGTTCGTCGGCATAAGTGGAAACAGCCAGTAATGGACAGACACGCGAGCGAAATAAATTATAAAAATTAATTGTTTTCGAAAGGAAGCGTTGCAAGAACAAATTTGATTGATTTATAGCATTTGGTGAC